AAAAAAAAAAAAAAAAAACCATTAGTGAATTTGTTCTCTCTCGCTCAGCCTAGTGATAAAAATCGTAGCTAATGTTTTCTCTTTAATGATATTATAATGAGAATAAAGTATACAGCATTTGGGGCACATTCATGAATTATTCTTTTTTTTTTAGTTCTTTATTAATCTTAAAAAAAATTTTTTTTTGATACAGAGTCTCATTATGTCACCCTGGGTAGAATACCATGGCGTCACAGCTCACAGCAACCTCATACTCTTGGACTTAATTCTCTTGCCTCAGCCTCCCAAGTAGCTAAGTAGTTGGGACTACAGGCGCCCACCACGATGCCTGGCTATTTTTTTGTTGCAGTTGTCATTGTTGTTTAGCTGGCCCCAGCTGGGTTTGAACCCTTCAGCCTCGGTACATGTGGCCGGCACCATAACCACTGTGCTATGGGCACCAAGCTGTTAACCTTAATTATTTATAAAGTATATCTCAATCAGAAGTTCTGAAATCAAAACTAGGGGATGGCTTAGTGGCAAAGTGAGGCAAAGTTTAAGAAAAAACCTTTACAGTGTAATGTGACATTTAAAGATTAAAATGGGTTTTATGGATTCCTGGTTTTTCCTTTGCTGCTGTAATATCTTTCTTGGTTTTGTACCTACAAATTCTTGGGTTTAAAAAATACCTACTAGCCTAAAATAAAGAATTGGCAAATGACTAAATAATACAGATAGCAAATAAACATTTTCAAAAATTAAATATTACTAGTAATTAAAGAAATACAAGTTAAAATATCAAGCTATCATTTTCTCCTGTTAAAAGGTTTTTTTTTCTAGCATAAAAGTAGAATACATCTTTACTGTAGAAAATAAGAAAATACAATTGAGAGAAAAGAAAACAATTTTAAAATATTCATATTCCTTATCACAGTGGCAGCACAATTAATATCTCACGTAAATCTCAGTCTTTTTTCTATCCACGTCTAAAATTGGTTTAATAGTTACCTGTTGGTGTACATTTGAAATTTTTGTCATCGTAAATAATGCCATAATAAATGTCCTATGTGTTAATCTTTCTTGCATCTTTGATGATTTTGTTAAGGCCAGTTCCTATATTCCTCAGCAATAACAGTTATTGCTGAGCATAACCAAAGCATATTGCATTTTTAAGGCTTTTGATTATCATTGTCAAATTACTGACCAGAAACATTATATCAAGTGTACAAGAGTATTGGTTTATTCATTCTCTTATCTTTTAATATATTATTTGTGTTGTTTTCTTATCATTGACATTTTGATAACTCTAAAGTGATATCTTGTTCCTTCAGTTTATACTTCTTTGATAAACAGAACTTATTTTATATGTCCTAACAAAATACTACAAATTAAAGAAAACTCCATTGCCACATTATTTATAAAAGAAAACAAACAAAATTACACACACACACTGAGATGTTCAACAAAAAAAAGAAAGCAGCTAAATAAATTATAATAATCTTTTTTTTGAGACAGAGTCACATTTGTTGCCCTGGTAGAGTGCCATGGCATCATAGTCACAGTAACCCAAACTCCTGAGCTCAAGCAGTCCTTTTGCCTCAGCCTCCCAAATAACTGAGACTATAGGCTCTAGCCATAATTCCTAGCCAATTTTTCTACTTTTAATAGAGACGGGGTCTCATTCTTGCTTAGGTTGGTCTCAAACTCCTGAGCTCAAGCAAGCCATCCACCTCAGCCTCCCAAAATGTTAGGATTACAGACGTGAGCCACTGTGCCTGGAGAGATTATAATAATTCTAAGCAATAAACTATGCCTCTATTAAAAGAGTAAATGTATAAAGTATTTTACTGACATAGGATAAATATTAACTATATAGCACTAGGTATGATAAATTTTTATATGTAACTTGATCTCTAACAGGCTCTTTTTAAATGTATAAGGAAAAAAGAAAACCTGAAAGAAAATACGCCAAAATGTAATTGCTTCTGTGTGATGATAGGTGATTTTTAATATTTCATAATTTTTAATACTTTCTACATTGTATAATTAACTTTATCTCACATTTGTGAAGATAAAGTATATACCCCACAAATGGTGACAGAAGAGAGAGGAAACTGCCCACCTGCAATTTGTGTAGCATATATAGTATTTATTTAAAAGATACTATTAAAACTTTTTTGACACTGAAACAAGGAGCATGGATAAAATGAGTAAGATTCTGGCTCAGTGCCTGTAGCTCACGCGGCTAAGGCACCAGTCACATACACCAGGGCTGGCAGGTTTGAATCCAGCCTGGGCCTGCCAAACAACGACAACTACAACCAAAAAAATAGCCAGGCATTGTGGCAGATGCCTGTATTCCCAGCTACTTGGGAGGCTGAGGCAAGAGAATCGCTTAGGCCCAGGAAATGGAGGTTGCTGTGAGCTGTGATGCCACAGCACTCTACCCAGGGCGACAGCTTGAGGTTCTATCTCAAAAAAAAAAAAAAATGAGTAAGATTCTGGTAGGCAGTTAAACATCTAGTTGTCAAAATATTAAAAGTTCTGCTTGCTCAAGAAGCTTACCATTGGAATTACCTGAAAATATAATGCTAATGATTTTTGTTTCTTTCTAGGTTGCTGCTGTTGATCTTCTGGTTCCTGGAGTTGGGGAACTCTGTGGAGGAAGCCTCAGGGAGGAACGGTACCATGTCTTAGAGCAGCGCTTGGCCAGGTCAGACCTAAAAGAAACACAATTAAAAAGTCTGGGTTGAGGCTTTCACAGATGATCATGACACAGTAACAGAGAGGAAAAAAAAAAAAAAATTACAGCCTCTGGCCTCTACAGTCCAGACCTGGATCTCAGATTCTGTGTCACCATGAACAAGTTGTTATTCAGCCTGTCTCACTTTCCATGTCTTAAAGATTAGAACTGTTACATGAAAAGCCCACAAGGATGTCTGCCCCCTACTTGTGCATATCTTTCCCTATGGAAAGTATTTTTATAAAAAGTTAATAATAACACAAGGAAGAAGATTTCTCCCTTAAAACTTGTCCTACATTATCCTCTTATCTGTATCTTCTGTTTATTCTCAGTTTGGGTTTTTTTTGAGATAGAGTCTCACTTTATCACCCTCAGTAGAATGCCATGGCATCACAGCTCACAGCAACCTCCAACTCCTGGGTTTAGGCAATTCTCTTGCCTCAGACTCCCGAGTAGCTGGGACTACAGGCACCCGCCACAACACCTGGCTATTTTTTGTTGCAGTTTGGCTGGGGCCAGGTTTGAACCCACCACCCTTGATATATGGGGCAGGTGCCCTACCCACTGAGCCACAGGCACCATCCTTATTCTCAGTTTTGAATGGTAGGGTCCTATGGGGACTTAAAGACAGACTCTGAACTAGGGATAGGATACGGTAGGGAAATAAAACTACTAAAAATTTCTGCTAAGCGAGCATTTAGAATAAGCACATTTTCCATCCTTGAGTTCTCTACTATGTCAGGGTTTTGATTTAGCTATTTGAATAACTGTATTTGTTGTTTGAGACCTGGGAAATGAATCCATAAGCACATACAGAATGTTTTGGAGATGGGAAGTAGGGAATCATGTTTCTGATTGAACTTCCACTCCTGTATATGCTTGTCTGCCAACAAACCTTAATGACTTCCTAAACTAACCAAGGTTATGAGCCTCTGTTTTTCCATGATTTCTACTTTTACTGTGCCAGACATTTAAAAAATAATAATAATGTTGCCATGTCTGTATGCTTAATCCTTCTCTCCAGATAATACTGAGTTTCACAGTTTCTGGAAAAGCCATAACTGTTTGAAAAAGTCCTGTTGGCTCGGCGCCTATAGCTCAACCGGCTAAGGCGCCAGCCACGTACACCTAAGGTGGCGGGTTCGAATCCCCAGCCCGGACCCGCCAAAACAACAATGACGGCTGCAACCAAAAAATAGCCGGGCGTTGTGGCGGGCGCCTGTGGTCCCAGCTACTTGGGAGGCGGAGGCAGGAGACTCGCTTGAGCCCAGGAGTTGGAGGTTGCTGTGAGCTGTAATGCCACGGCACTCTACCCAGGGGGACAGCTTGAGGCTCTGTCTCAAAAAAAAAAAAAGAAAAAGTCCTGTTAAACTAGCCATTCGTAAGGCCTTCTTTCCCTAATGGAGAAATGCTTTAAAAGTTGATGCTTTCCCAAGATCCCAACCTGTAAATCTCCTGGGTGGCTTAGTTTCATAATCCCAGTCATCAGAACTGCTCTATTGGGTTAGGATCCAAAAGAAAGGGGGTAAATAGGTTTGGGGAAGACTATTTGTATCATTCTACTAACTCTTTAATTAATTACTGTCATGTTAAAAGGTCCTGGGAAAGTTGTGAAATTGAAGGGAAAGTTACTCTTTAGGTGGAAATCTGAGGATTTGATGAGCTTTTTTTAAAGCACAATAAAAATCATACATGGCATGAAACTTCATCTGTTGAAAGATTAATTGGTCTGTTTTCTTTGCTTGCTTCCTTCCTTTAGGAAACCTTTCCTCATAACATTAAATGTTTACCTAATACCCAAATTTATCTTTCGTTGGGAGGCAGCCTCAGAATCTATATTATTGTTTTAATGTTGTAGAAAGTTATGTCTGTGTGTTCCATGGCTGTGTAGGCCTCCCAACAACCTGGCCTCGTAATAATAGTGCTTTTCTTACGTCACAGTACAATAAGCTGATCTCTGATGACTCTCTTCTTTTGGGCTTTGGATCATATTTTTGTTCTATAGCATTTGTTCTCTAATCCACTTATTTGACAATATGTTGGGCTGTTGGTTAACTTACTATTAACCTTTCAACTCTTCGACTATATATATGTTATTTGAGAGCACAGACTTTGTTGTGTACTTCTTCATAAGGAGCTCTTTGCATACAACTCAGAATAAAATGTTTAATGGTTAATATAATTATCTTATTGCCATTCCCTGAAAGAATTTTATTTTCCTTTTGCAGATCACGACTTAACGAAGTCTACCAATGGTAAGGATGTGGTCTCCAATAATTTATATTCTAGCTGCTTGTCTGAGTGTTGCCTAGAAGAATTTCCTGTAATCACCTGTAATCCTAGCACTCTAATGAGGCCAAGGCAGGTAGACTGCTTGAGCTCCGGAGTTTGAGACCAACCTAAGCAATAGTGAGACTCCACCTCTAAAAATAGCCGGGCAGGCGGCGCCCATAGCTCAGTGGGTAGGGCGCCAGCCACATACACCAAGGCTGGCAGGTCCACAGCACTCTACCCAGGGCGACAGCTTGAGACTCTGTCTCAAAAAAAAGTTTGAGGCTGCTGTGAGCTGATGCCACAGCACTCTATGGAGGGGGACAAAGTGAGACTCTGTCTCAAAAGAAAAAAAAAAGAACAGTGAAAGACAAAGGGGGCGGAGGAAGTCTCAGAAAATTACTCTTTGGGTTTTTAAAAAATGGTAATATTAATAGCTACCATGTAATTATTATGTGTCAAATAACTATGTTAAAATGTTTATATTATTTCATGTAATATCACAACACTCTGTGAGTTAGGTACTATTACTAATCCCTTTTTATTAGTCCTCTAGGTCTGAAGCCTCGATAATGAACTTAACCAATATTACACTGGTAGAAGCGTGGCACTGGGACCTGATCTCTCTGAATCAAAAACCTTTGCTCTTGACCACTGTGCTTCAGTTTCTTGTCAAGTGCATTGGCTCACTCCTATAATTCCACACTCTAGTAGGCCAAGGCAAGAGGATCACTTAAACCCAGGAGTTCAAGACCAGCATGGGCAACATAGCAAGACCCCATTGTTACAAATAAGAAAAATTAGCTGGGGACAGGGGCACAGACCTGTGATCCCAGCTGCTCAGGAGGCAAAGCCAGGAGGATTGCTTGAGCCCAGGAGTTCGAGGTTATAGTAGGCTATGACTGAACACTACACTCCAGCCTCGGTGGATCCTATCTCTAAACAAACAAAAATCTCCTTAGGTATGAAATCAGAGACTTGAGCTACGTGATCCCTCAGGTCTTCATGAACTGTAGAAATCTAAGCTTCTTAGGGAAGACCACCCGTCTCTACTCATACATTTACTTCCTCAGAGTTGTTCTGATTTTCCTTCTGCAGACTCTTTCTGCAAATTTTTTTCCATATATACAGATCATGTATTTTTACTTCTAGAATATCACTTCTTCAGGATTTTTGCATAATATCAATAATATCCTTTTGCTGTCCTCTAGAGAAGGAAAGTGGCAAGTTATACCCTTGCCTTTTTATAAGGAAGGAGGTAGGTTTCAGAGATGCAAAAAGGTTAAAATTGGATTCCCATAATGGCCTTTGAAAGCCTTGTATTGGCCAGTAATGATGTTAGGCATACTTAATCTTTCTGAGTCTTGGCTTTCTTGGTTACAAAATAGAATGATACTATCTACTTTACCAGGTTATTGGGAAGATGAAATGAAACAATACAGATTAAGTATCTACCCTCAGTAAATGCTAGTTTCCTTTGTTCTAAGTCTTGCTGTTAGGCAAATGACCCTGAATGAGCAGCTTTATGCATTTTGCTTCAGATTCTGTCTGTGAGATAATATTATGGCGCATAAAAACTAGCCTAAATATAAATTTTAGCCATTGGTTAAAGAAGTTTAGGCCTTTTTTAGTCTTTATTAATCATTTTAGTAGTATTCTTTTCCCAATGAAAGTCTTCAAATTTCTAAGATCTCCAAATATAAATATTTACCATCTGAATTTGCTTCCTTTTTATGTGGTAATTATAGCATATCAGAGGTACCAGGGACCTTAGAAACTTTCACATGTGTGATCTCTGCTAATGGGGAGCAGCCACCCCAGGAGTGTAAGAAATTACTCACTTCCTATTTCTACATGCCATATGCAGATAAAATTTGTAACTAGTTCCACAGATTTTGTAGTATCTCTTCTATAATCTGGCTACCCTAGAATCACTTTAACTACAATCAAACAAATACATGTACATTAGAAACTTTTTTCTTAGAAGTGGATTTTTTTACCTATTAAAGCAAAGACCAAGAAAAATGATAAAAACTGAATCCCTCTGCAGAACTCAATTTACAGGTATTCAGACTAGTGTTTTGACGTCAATGTATGAGAAATTTGGACCCATCTAAAACCATTGCTCGACCTTCTAGCAGCCCCTAAGATCCTCCAGGTGTGTTTGACACATAGTTTAGTGTGCTCTTATTCTTATTTTGTTACTAAAGTATGCTCTTCCCCATGCCATGTAAACTTAATATGGTTACTGAGCATTTAAATTAGTCAAGAATAAGTTCTTTCAATTTTTCCTTGTCTTTCTTACTCATCTGAAGTTTTATACTGGATAGATACCTCTGTCATATTATCTTCTCATCTGGTTACAGCTCATTTGTTGGAATTCATCTTTATTTTTAAAAGATAGGTACTTAGTCTTAACTGCCTAAAATACCAATATATGTAGCTGTTATTAATTGTGGGGAAATAGGTGATAGTCAGTCTTTGTGCTAGAGGAGCCAAATGGCTATCAGCTGTGGCACTTACGTCTTCTTGGGGAACTGATTTTACAATCATTCAAGCAGCTCTACACTTTGTTTATTTGTTTGTTTGTTTTAGACAGTCTCACTCTGTCGCCCTCAGTAGAGTGCTGGGGTTAGCTCGGCAGCAACCTCAAACTCTTGGGCTCAAGTGATTCTTTTGCCTCAGCCTCCCAAGTAGCTGGGACTAGAGGCGCCCACCACAAGCCCTAGTTATGTTTTTAGACGGAGTATCTCTCTTGCTTAGGCTGGTCTCAAACTCCTGAGCTCAGGTAATCCACGTGCCTCAGCCTCCCAGAATGCTTTGATTACAAGTATGCACCACTGCACTCAGCCTCTACACTTTTTAAACCTTTGTGACTCAAGAATTTCCTCACCAAATGACATATTTCCTTCCTAAAATAACTTTAATGCCGGTATATTAGAATCAGAGTTGGCTGTGCCATTTTCTAACCATATTGCCTGACGTGGGAATAGGATATGAATGGATGGGTTTCAGAGTCTGTCTGGCCTGCCAGAGAAATGATTCTGGACATCTTCGGTAGGCCTGAAGCAAAGAACTGGAGGTTTCTCCTAGTTTGGGCCCTCAAGAATATATTTTTGTGCCTCAAATCCTTCTTTCTTTCTTTCTTTATTTTTTGAGACAGAGCCTCAAGCTGTTACCCTGGGTAGAGTGCTGTGGCATCACAGCTCACAGCAACCGTCAACTCCTAGACTCAAGCGAGTCTCCTGCCTCTGCCTCCCAAGTAGCTGGGACCACAGACGCCCGCCACAATGCCTGGCTATTTTTTGGTTGCAGCCATGATTGTTGTTTGGTGGTCCCGAGCTGGATTCAAACCCACCACCTTAGGTGTATGTGGCTGGCGCCTTAGCCACTTGAGCCACAGGTGCAGAGCCTATGCCTCAAATCTTTGTGTAGTAAGTAAGCACCTACTCTTGAGCATTCCCTGGAGATAAAAAGTTAAAAGAAACACAGTTTCTGCCCTGTTGCAGCCTGTATTTTAATCTAGGGGATATCTTTTTGTGATGTATCAAGCAAAACTCTTCACTCTCCTCTGTTTATTGAACAATCTGATTTTGGTAAGAAAAAGGCATTATTATTAACCAATGATAATGGTTAATCTATGCCAAGAAATAGAAGAGGAATGTATTTTCAAGAAAACTAGTAAAGCTATAGAAAATTTTTGGTAGCCTCATGAGAAGTTTTCTGTACGTAAATGCATAAATAACTTTAAAAGGATCAAATGACCAGAGCCCATGACCCAGTGGCAGGATTCTGGGTAACCTTGGATAAATGAGATTACTTTAACTTTTTGTTTCCATCATCTGTGGAGGAGAAAGACTGATCTACCACTGTGGTGTGGACAATAGCAAATGACTGCAAAAGACTTTTAAAACATAATTTCTAATCATAACATTTGGTCTCATACAGCATTTATAGGTGATGATTGTCTGTTTTTTAAAAAACAGGTATCTGGACCTTCGTCGATTTGGATCTGTGCCACATGGAGGTTTTGGGATGGGATTTGAACGCTACCTGCAGTGCATCTTGGGAGTTGAAAATATCAAAGATGTTATCCCTTTTCCAAGGTTTACTCATTCTTGTCTTTTATAGCTGGAAGATTGGTTAAGAAAAGACACCCCAATGCAGAGGCACTGCATATGAATATGCACATAGGAGAATGCGCGTTTAGATTTTAGAAATGCAGATTTCAGTATGTAATTGTCACACCACAAGATGTAACACATGAAAAATAAAAGCGATCATGATTTTCTTAGAAAGTTGATTGCATTTCTTGGAAGTATGAACTTCCTCAAGAAGAGGTACTTACAGCAAGTGGACTCTGAAATCTATTACCTCAACTAAGAAGAAAGGAAATTGAACTAGATGGTTTCAAAGATCCTTTCAAACTCTAAAATGGGACACAGTCTATTTTACTTTGTCTTTAATCATTATATCACTTTTCCCTGTGTAACGTTAGAGCACCAACTAGTAGCTAACAATAAATTGTTGATCTTTTTTCTCCTGCCATTTAATCTGTGCTAAATGCCAATCTTATTCTTAGTGTTTTACTAAACATTTCAGAAGAAAAAATTACTTATTTTTAAGGTCTTAATTAATTTAATGAAGTTGCTATTCTGAATTGAAATCTTCTTAGAAAAAATTACATTTAATAAAGGTTTCTCTTTAGTTATAAAAGCTAGTGAGATATTACAATAACTGTTTAAACTCTTAACCACTGCTGTGTTATAATTAGTTTATATTAGATGTTTATTATTTCTTTAATCATTAATAAAAAATAGATTTTTAATTAACACCTAGAGAAAAAAGTTATAGTTTTAAATTCCATTTGGTCCTTTCCTAGGAAGTAAAATTTGGAAGGAAAGTATTTTCAATCTAGGATGAAGATGGAAATGTGGTAAGCCTAAAGGATTGGATAATTCTAGAGAAAAAAAGCAGCGTGCTCTATTAGAGTAAAAAGGGGCATTGGGCGGCGCCTGTGGCTCAAAGGAGTAGGGCACCAGCTCCATATACTGGAGGTGGTGGGTTCAAACCTGGCCCTGGCCATAAACTGCAAAATGGGGGGGAGAGGCATTGATGTGGGAGTTTGAGACTTTCCAGCTCTAGCACTTTGGACAAGTTATTTATTCTGCATGAGCTCAAGCATCATTTTCCTCATAGAGTTGATAAGTAATTACATGAAAGTGTATATATATGTGTGTGTTTAAAACTGAAATGCTACACAAACTTTTTAAAAACTTTAGCCTTTTAGTTGTCATGGAGTTCTATATGTGGACCCATAGGAAATTTGTAGCTTCAAGTCTTACTTTACCAGATACCATATTAATTGTGTGGAATAAGGGCCACAGACATTCACAGACCTAGAACCTGGAAGCCCTACAGTTTCCAAGATGTATTAGTCCATTTGGGTTGCTATAAAGAAAATATCTGAGGCGGCGGTTATAAAGAAAAGTAATTTAGGAGTTCGACTGGTAGCGGGAGCAGAGAGCGGACCCCAGACAGCTCTGAGTAGCCCCACCGCCGCCAGCCTAGTTACCATCACATCGGGAGGAGCCGCAGCCAGCCCCAGTCACCATCACCGCAACCCTGAGCTGCTCCAGTCACCATCACCGCAACCCTGAGCTGCCCCAGTCACCATCACCGCAACCCTGAGCTGCCCCAGTCACCATCACCGCAACCCTGAGCTGCCCCAGTCACCATCACCGCCACCCTGAGCTGCCCCAGTCACCATCACCGCAACCCCGAGCAGCCCCAGTCACCATCACCGCAACCCTCACTGCATCACCATCACCGCAACCATGAGCAGCCCCAGTCACCATCACCGCAACCCTAAGCAGCCCCAGTCACCATCACCACAACCCTGAGCTGCCCCAGTCACCATCACTGCGTCACCATCACTGCAACTGTGAGCAGCCCCAGTCACCATCACCACAACCCTGAGCTGCCCCAGTCACCATCACTGCGTCACCATCACTGCATCACCATCACCGCAACCGTGAGCAGCCCCAGTCACCATCACCGCAACCCTTACTGCATCACCATCACCGCAACCGTGAGCAGCCCTAGTCACTATCACCGCAACCGTGAGCAGCCCTAGTCACTATCACCGCAACCCTGAGCTGCCCCAGTCACCATCACCGCAACCCTCCCTGAGCTGCCCCAGTCACCATCACCGCAACCCTGAGCCGCGAGGCCCAGACCTGGCAGCCACCCCCGCCCTCAGCACTGCCGACACCAAGCCCAGCACTACGGCAGCAGCGCAGGGAGCGGTGGCCCGGGTGGCCTCACATCAGCGGCGCCTGCCAGCGGGGACAAGAGGGCCATTGCAACCAAGGTTTTGGGAACAGTAAAATGGTTCATGTAAGAAATGGATATGGTGTCATCAACAGGAATGACACCAAGGAAGATGTATTTGTACAGCAGACTGCCATAAAGAATAACCCCAGGAAGCACCTTCCCAGCGTAGGAGATGGAGGGAACCTGGAGTTTGATGTTGTTGAAGGAGATAAGGGTGCGGAGGCAGCAAGTGTCACAGACCCTGCGGAGTTCCAGTTCAAGGCAGTAAATACGCAGCAGATCACAACCATTATTAGGTGCTATCCACATCGCAGGGACCTCCACGCAATTACCCGCAGAATTACCAGAATAGTAGGGGGGAGAAGGCGGGTTGGAGAGCGCTCCTGAAGGCCAGGCCCAACAACACCGGCCCTGCCACAGGCGAAGGTTCCCACCGTACTACTGCGGAGCTATGGGTGTTGACCACAGTATTCCAACCCTCCTGTGCAGCGAGAAGTGATGGAAGTGCTGACAACCAGGGAGCAGGAGAACAAGGGAGACCAGCAAGACAGAATATGTATGGAGTTATAGACCACGATTCCGCAGGGGCCCTCCTCGCCAAAGACAGCCCAGAGAGGACGGCAATGAAGAGGATAAAGAGAATCAAGGAGATGAGACCCAAGGTCAGCAGCCGCTCAATGTCGGTACCGTCACAACTTCAATTACCCACGCAGACGCCCAGAAAAGCCTAAACCACAAGATGGCAAAGAGACAAAAGCAGCCGATCCACCAGCTGAGAACTGGTCCGCTCCCGAGGCTGAGCAGGGCGGGGCTGACGGTCTCTACCACCATCCTGTTTAGTCATCCAACAAGCAAAGTATCTCAAGAATGGAAGAAAAAGTATCCAATGTACTCAGCCCCACTATGAAACTAATTTATAACTTTCATTGGAGAGCTATAACCCAATTTTATCCCAGGAACATGGGGAGAGGGGAGTAGAGCGTGGGTGGAGGGAGGGTGATTGGTGGGATCACACCTATGGTTCATCTTATAAGGGTACATGTGATTCTCTCTAAATGTAGAATATAAACGTCTTAACACAATAACTAAGAAAAGGACATGAAGGCTATGTTAACCAGTTGGATGAAAGTATTTCATACTGTATATAGAAACAGCACACTGTACCCCATACCCCATGATAGTATTAATGTACACTGCTATGATTTAATAAAAACTAAATAAATAAAAGCTGGAAAAAAACGAATATGAAATTCCAACAGTAAGAAGTGAACTAAAGATTGGCCCTAAAGACCTTAAGTGCTTGCTTTTTGCCCACTGACCAGATAACTAGAACTATCTGCATCATCTATGCAGCATGGGGTTTTTATTATTTTTACCTAAAGAAGTCTTTTTTGGTAATAACAAACTTTTTTTTTTAAAGCCTGGTTTTTCTCAATATGCTTTTAAAGGTTTTTAAATTGTTTTATATCTGGTCAAGTTGAGATTTTTAAGAACTTCATTTTTAATTTCTAATAAAAGTTTACAACTTGATTTTTTCCAAAAAGTCAACAAACTGCAAACACCTGTTAATAAAGGTTTTAAATAATTTTTTAAAAAATGAAAAAGAAAGAAAAGCTATTTAGGGGTCATGGTTCTATAAGCTACACAAGCATGGTGCCAGCATCTACTTTTGGTGAGGGCTTCAAGGAGCTTTCAGTCAAGGCAGAAGGCAAAGGGAAAGCATGAGTGTCACATGACAAGGACAGACACAACAGAAAGAAGGTGGTGCCCAGCTTCTAAACAACTGGCTCTCATCATGGGTGGCAGCAAGCCATTCTTGAGGGATCTGTCCCCATGGCCCAGACACCTGCCACCAGGCTTCATCTCCAACACTGGGGATCAGATTCCAACATGAGATTTTCAGGGACCAAACATCCAGAGCACATCACAAGTCTACCAAGAATCATGCCTTCGTGATTTTTTTTTTCGAGACAGAGTCTCATTCTGTCAATCTGGGTAGAGTGCCATGGCATCTTAGCTCACAGCAACCTCAAACTCTTGGGCTTAAGTGATCCTGTTGCCTCAGCCTCCCAAGTAGCTGGGATTACAGGCACCTACCACAATGGCTGGCTAATTTTTTTTTTTTTTTTTTTAGTAGATATGGAGTCTTAACTCTTGTTCAGGCTGGTCTTGAATCCCTGAACTCAAGCAATTTACCCACCTAAGCTTCCAAAAGTGCTGGGATTACAGGCATGAGTCATCACACCCAGCTGTCTCCCATGACTTTTGAGGAAACAGATAGACTTGTGATGTTAACATAGTAGTAGGGCATCCATAATAACAATGATGGAAATAATACAGAGTTAGAGAAATCTCACGTCTGCACACAGCCCTACCATGCATTTAGCTATACAGCATTAGCCAAGTAAAATAGCCTTTGCAGCCTCTAGTTTTTTCATCTGTAGAACTGTCAGTTTGAAGTAGATGGGATCCTTCTATCTCTTCTGTGAATCTGTGCTGGACATAATAATTATTATTGAAGATTATTACTATTAAAGTCCAACCTTTAGATCACACACAGTTCCCTATTTTAATATATACTAGTTCTCAAAAAATGTATAGTGGGTGGCACCTGTGGCTCAGTGAGTAGGGCGCCGGGCCCCATATACTGAGGGTGGCAGGTTCAAACCCAGCCCCGGCCAAACTGCAACAAAAAATAGCCAGGCGTGGCAGGCACCTGTAGTCCCAGCTACTTGGGAGGCTGAGACAAGAGAATCGCCTAAGCCCAAGAGCTGGAGGTTGCTGTGAGCTGTGACACCCTGGCACTCTGCCAAGGGTGACAGAATGAAACTCTGTCTCTAAAAAAAAAAAAAAATGTATAGTGAAGTCAAATCACTGAAAGTTGAACGACAGACTTAAATCTGTTCTGTGTGTGTACAAAGGGTGGGGAATGTTCCTTCTCAAGGCGTCAAATGTGTATTGTTTCTTGCCTTTTTGATCGTCTTCAGCAGTATAATTCTAAAACTTCATACTTCCTTTCCACACAACTGTCTGGTCAAAGCCAAACAGTTGCCACCCATAGACAAGTCTAATAATTTCCATCTTTGGCTCATTATTTCTCTTTTACCAATAATTGAATAAAAAACAAATACTCATGTCAGATAAAGATAATAAAAATCCCAAACTAAACTGATAGTTTCAGGCAACATCAGCAGGAAAAAACTGCACATCAGCTGATACTTCTTTTGCTTTTTTTTTTTTTTTTTTTTTGCTGTTACTGGCTGGGGCC